ACTTCCTTGTAGAATAGTACCAATCCAAAAATTGAAAATATTATTGGTACTTGGGAGGAAAAAACCTCCCATAATAGTTGTCCTGTTTGAATTCAAAAGAAATAATTTAAAAGTCACGCGCAAGTTCGCGAAAACACCTCGTGGGTTACATAACAGGGGGGAGTGAATATTTTCACGAAACGTTTGTTCGCCACCACAGGCCACAGCAACCTAACTAAATACATTATATTTATTGTATATTTGTGATTTATGATAAAAGCAATAAATATTTGCGTATCAATTATAAAAATACAAAAAATATAATACATTTAGTTAGGTTGCTGTGGTGGCGCACAAACGTTTCGTGAAAATATTCCCCCCCCCTATCATGTAGTACACGAGGTGTTTTCGCGAACTTGCGCGTGACTTTTAAATTATTTCTTTTGAATTCCTCCCAAGTACCAATAATATTTTCAATTTTTGGATTGGTACTATTCTACAAGGAAGTACTCTTGGATAATGTAATCTAAATACATATGAAAACGAAGAAGTGGCATTTATCGGGCAGAGAAGCGGCGAGCCATTAAGATGGCGGCAATCTGACGAAATGTCGAAGGACACAATATCGAAGATAAAATACACTGCACTGTTACAAAAGTGGATGAAACCTTCTTTGAAATCTTCTTCAGCCATTTATAATTATGTAAAAGTACAATAACTGGATGATATTTGCGAGATTCGGCGATAAAAAGCAAACAAGACGGCAAAATATGGCTGAAATCGTGTTTTCGTGGGGGGTAAGTGAAATAAAATGTATTTTATTTAAAGAAAACAATGACAATCCTTATGAAATCAACAATATTTATATTAAATTAAGCATAGTTTTTCACCCCATAATAATTTTTTTTAGGAAATAAGAATATTTAATTTCTGCCAGGCATATTAGTTAGTTTGTGCATAATCAGCAATTTACCTGGGGTGGTGCATAGTCATTTTCTGGTAAAATATTATACTTAGATAAATTTTCCTTCCAATGACCACCCCTAAAAGCAACCCTTCTAAACACTATAAGCACGTCAGAAAGGCTATCGCTTTTCCTTTTTGGAAGTTAGAGCTATGTCGACACTGCCGTTTCAGGGCGGGGTCATTTTCAGAACTTTCGTCCCGGATTCAGGTTTTCGCACATATGCCATGTTGACCGCCATGGTCATTTTACCCTAAAACAGTTGAGATTACCTGTCCTAAATGAATCGCATACAAACTCATATACAGGTCCTAGACTACAAGTAATCATGCGATGTTGCTCGTACAATTAGGGATTAATGGTACTCGTGATGTTTGGAAATTTGCCAAATTGGACTCGCCCCGGCGGCTCGTCCAATTTTGGCAAAATTTCCAAACATCACTCGTACTATTAATCCCTAATTGTACTCGCCGTCGCATGATTACCTATACTAATAGGAAAAGTGAACGGCACAACTGTACTTACTCGTATGTTAATATACAAATGATTATAATTGTGTTTCTTTGTTGGGTCCATCATTAATATAGTAATGCACGAGTTTATTTAGAATGTCTCATATTATAGTTGACTATTAAGAAGAAGGAATTTATAATGTTTTTTAAAAGTAAAAAATGGCAATGATTTCATTTCTTTGGGAATTGTTTCCCATATTTTAGAAGCTTTTACTTTGAATCTAGTAAGCCCAAAATTTGTTCTAGAAGCTGGTCTGTATAGGTTCTGTTTGGATGCATATCTGGTGTTATATAACTATGAACATCCGATGCTTCCATAGTTAAGTCTGAGAGAGCCTTAGGAATTTCTGTTTTCTTAAATATTATTTTATAAACAAGGCGAAGATATTTTGAGGTTAAATATGTTTTCAAGTTTCAGTATTTCAAGCATTTGAAAATACGCTGTTATACATTTTCAGTTGTTCTTGCAAAAAAAATTGCACGAAGACATTTGTATTGTTTGGTCCTTATTTTTTCCAATCTTAGATTTTCCATAGTTTGAGTAGGGATATATTAATGCGTAATAAAGTTGTTTTAGCATATGAATAGACACAAAATGCCTTAGCTTATTTATAACTCCAGTATTTTTTGCAATCTTGTTTTGAACGTGTTTCAGTTGAGCATCCCATTGTAAGTGTTCATCGATGAAAACACCTAAGTATTTTATCTTTTTCTTTTGTTCGATGCTGCACGTTTCTATTGTTATATTGCATTTTTTCCTGGGTTATATTGTTATATTGCATTTTTTTCATTTTTTCTTCATGCATTAAGAATTAACACGTACCTGTATAGTATACCAGCTTTATGGCTCCATTCCGGTGGCTCATTTTTCTACCTATACTATACAGTAGATAATACATGCCGAACAGTATAGTATAGATCGATTGAATTTTTAAATATAATGTCCACTTTTATAATAAAAATGATTTATGAACATATTTCGTAAAAAAATTAGGATGATCAACATTTTCGTGCGACCTGGTAAACGTACAGTACGTATAAAAACGTACGACAACAAATCAGCCTTTATATGTTTTAGTTGGCGAGTTTCGTAATTTAAAGGGTATGGGCAATGAAAATTGCTTCATCTATCTTATTGCTTCGTCTGAAAGAGCATGAAAAAATAAGCCGATTGGCCGTTTAATGCTCTATTCTATCTCATCTAGTTCCGAAGTTATACGCAAAAATGTGCAAAATATAAATTGCTGATTCAGCACAACGTGTGACGTCATTAGCTGGGTAAGTATGTTTATTGAATACTACACTGAAGCATAGCTCAGTTATTATGGGCCCAAATCAAATGAAATTTTGGATACTGATTGTACATGATGAGACGCATGGAAAAACACTTCTAATTTTGTTGCCAAGGTAACAATGTCGTTCCCAGGCCCCTTGCGCCAATTTTATAAAACAGCTTTATTCAAGGTACTGATAAAAATAAAATAATATCAGAAGTATGTGTACGATACCTATGCATGCCGAAAGTTTACTTGCATGATAATAATTCGAAAATGACATACACATAGAGAAATGCAACTAGTTATTCAAAATCGGTGTAAGGGGCCTGGGAACGACTGTGTTGCCTTGACAACGAAATTGAAGTATTTTCCCATGCGTCTCATCATGTACTATCTGTATGCAAAATTTCATTTGATTTGAGCCAATAATAACTCAGCTATGCTTTAGTTTACTATTCAATAAACATACTTACCCAGCTTATGACGTCACACATTGTGCTGAATCAGCAATTTATATTTTGCACATTTTTGCGTATAACTTCGGAACCAGATGAGATAGAATAGAGCAGTAAACAGCCAATCGGCTTATTTTTTCGTGCTCTTTCAGATGAAGCAATAAGATAGATGAAGCAATTTTCATTGCCCATACCCTTTAAAGTAAAATATAATCCAAGGGGAAGCTTCTTGAAAAAATACTTAAATAATGCATTTGACTAATCACAGGTGGAGCGGGAGGAGCTGGTGGATCTCCAAATATGGCGGATGTTTTGCAGGATCCCGAAATCATGGGATATTTACAGGTTTGTAATTTTTGAGTTTGTTTTTATAACAGCTTTATTCTCGTGTCTTTGGGGCTTTTTAATTAGTTTTGCCGCTGGTACTTTTCGCTAGTCCCTTGGTCACAGAACCCTGTTTCAACTTTAATGGTTCAGCAATGTAATAAAAGTGGAAATTTGAATAAAGTACAGTACAGTAAAGTACAATAAAGTATACTATGTTCATACCTTTAATCAATGCAGGAATAAAAGAAAGCGTCGGATTGATAGCGATGCAACTACCTGAAAAATACAAGGAAACGTACAGAATGATACATTTTGATACATATTATTTCTTATTCAATTTACCATGTAGGACCCAGAAGTGCAAGCAGCTTTACAGGATATTATGTCCAACCCTGGTAACATGAGCAAGTATCAAGGCAATCCAAAAGTTGTCAAAGTTTTTGAAAAGCTGAATTCCAAATTTGGTCGTTAACTGCTTTTGAACAGGGATTATACAATGAAAGTCTTTCTCCTGCATGATTTTAGTCAATAGCCATGAAAATTATTATATATGCACAATATCACATCTCCTGTATGTGTAAAACCTACCTCATATCGTGAGAAACACACGCCCAATTTACACTATGGCGATTTTTGCTTTGACAAGATTACTTTCGAGTTATGAATTTTGAGACATGCTATGGAATTATTTTGAGTAGAAATCGAGCCTTCAGTTTACCACGCTGGCCGCTTCTTTGTCAAAGCAAAATTCGCAAGACTGAAGTATAGACCGACCTTAGGTTATATATTAATGCATGATTTATCAGATACTAATATTATAATGCGTGATCAATTAGTACTTTTAGGATAGGTTTTATGAAACTTAAATTAGATTTTGTGACGATGCTTTCAAGATTGCCTATATGCTCTTGATTGATTCGCTTTGCTGTGCACGATGTGTAAACTCGTGCGAATTTGCTGAAAACGGAAATAAAATAAATAAATTTTTCTTCTTGTATTGATTTTTTATATAATTATCTGACTAATACAAAGCTAATACAGCTATTCCAATTTAAAATTACGGCAAATTAAGGTTGTCATAGACAATAGTCAAGTGTACAACCAAGATTATAATGGAATGAGATATTTTGTAGAGTAAACTGTATATTATGTACTATTTGGGATTAGCAAGTACAGTAAGGTCGATTTGCATGTGTGCTATTAATACACTCCTAAATTTTTCGCTTCATTAACCCCTAAACCATTGGAATAATAGTGTTTTATTGACATTGAGAGCAGAGATTTGTGTCCGCTTAAAAGCGGTGTCTGTTCAAAGGCTTTTTCCCATTCGTCGCAAGAGACTTACTGGGAAAGAGGTAGTGTTGTTTTAGTCAACTAAAACTAAAACCCTATTTTAATCGTGCCAAAATAATTTAGTCGACTAAAACTAACTAGAACTAAATAAATTAAACAGATAAATATACTAAAACCAGAACTAAAGCGATTTAAGAGATAAAAACTAGAACTATATACTAGAACTAAAGCAAAATCAGCGGCAAGTAGTAGAACTAAACTTGAACTAAAAGCAAAATTGCCACCAACAACTAAAACTAAACGACAGAATTTAATTAGTCAGCAGATTGTATATTTAATTGTTTATGATCTATTTTTTTTGAAATATAACATTTGGCCTTCGAGGGGACTTTGTACACGATCGTGAACTGTCGCGAACTGATCGTAAACTGTCGATTCTGCCTTCCGCCTATGATTTTATACTTCCTGTTCCTGGAAAACCGAAACAGTGTTTTTGAAACCTCGACCCTGGTTTACATTGGGTTATTTATAAATAACGTTGTCTTAGTTTGTATAGTCGACCATATAAGCACCCTGGGTTCGACTGTATAACAAAAACGCGTTATGCGTTGTTCTTACAGCCAAGACGTATGGCAGTGAACTATGACTTGACAGAAGTAATGAACGCAGAAAGGCATGCATGTCTACCTCTGGGAAAACACCCTTTCGATAATTACGTCACAAATCTCTCCTTGACCCGGGCCTCATGAATCGTGAGCCAACCACCTTTCGTTTTGATGGGACATTGGTTCACCCAATGGACCATTAAAATCATGCATCAGTTCGTTGGCTCATGCATCAGCATGACTCCTTACTCTAAACAGTCAACTCTAGACCAATTCTAATAATATTAGTAAGACTATTAGATAGACTTTTCGATGCCTACTAATAATTAGCTGTGTAAAATCTGGAACATGCACAGTTAGTGTATTTTTTCCTGCGGACAACCTGGATAGGCGACTTATCTTGGTTTTCGCACATGGATTGTACATTTTGACTTTATAATTGAAATAGTTGTATACATCAGATTTTGCACAGTTTTTAACCGCCACTTACGAACTCGATTATTTCACTAACGTTCGTCATGGTGGAGGGCCTTGAGTGTCGAGATGACCCTGAGAGCTATTCCAGCGAGAGTTTCATCTCCTGATATGACCACCCAAGTGTGACCATCCAAGCTTTCCAAACCCCTTATGAGTGAAATGTTATAAACAATAATTTACCAGATAACGGCGTGAATGGGAATGGAACCATGGTGAAGCTGCCTCGCCAGACAGGTGTCCCACTGTCCTGAAGGGGCGTAGGAACCGGGGGGAGGGGGGCCAGGCCCCCCAAGGTTTGCCAAGTGCCCTTTTGAACTACGGGAAAGACGGGACGGATGTTTGTAGAGCGGAAGTCATACCATCGGTAATTGGCTGTTTAAGGAGAGGAATGAAAAGATCGAAAGATGATATAAGAAAACTGTTTAACAGCGAGAACGATTTACATCTGACAAGAAAGTAAGGAAAAGACAGTATTGTGGGAAAAATCGTTTAAACAATTAAACCATGACCTTCAAACCGAACTTATACAAAACCTTTGGCCTCGTTATAGAAATCTTGAGTTATAGAAACCTTGGTTTCTGGCTAACTTTCTGCCAATATAGCTATAATTAAACCTCTAGACAACGGGCACTTCAGGCTTCCAAACAACGGGCAGCAAGCATTTGTCCCATGCTGGGGGGTCAAATTCCAATGTTGTTAGTCTGTATAGTAGACGTAACACTCGTATTGGGCATGTTAATTTATACATATCGTTGCCTGGGTTTTGTACATTTATGTTCTGTACATTAATTTGCGTATAGCCTATATGAATGTTTTATCCCCAAATTCAAAATGTACTGATTGAAATATTCTCTTAATCCTTTGTGGTGTTGCAGTGAATTCCTCATGCTGATAAAAACGTTTGCCATTGTTTTATTATGTAAACAATCACGACACATATTTAATGTTTATGTTATATGTGGAAAACCCCCTTAAAAATTTAAAATTAAACTTCCATGAAAATGTTGATAATTTGAATAAGCTACACGTGAGAAATTGCACAATTTGTAGAAGGTGCAATTTTTTAGATTGCAGATTCTATGTCAGGTAAATTTTACATAGATGTGGACCATCATGTGGTTTTCAGTACCGTAACAGTGTCACATATGTTTATTCGATTAAATCCTAAATGAGGTCAAAATATCTTGTGAAGGAATGTCAAAAATCTCATCATGTATCCAGACATTCCTCAAATCAAACATTTAAAGCAATATTGGTAGTGCCTGGTGTACATCTGTCGACATTAAAATAAAGAGTAGTGTTCATTGCTGCGTGTGCAAACTGACAACAAGACAAATCATTGAGAATTAACTGTATGATGTATGAATTGGAGTTAATTCCTCATTTTGGATTATGCCAACTGGCGGTACGTTGTTGTTAAGTGTTCCTAACACGGCAAAATCCTGCAATAAGTTAACTCCAATACGACATCTTAGAAACAGCAGACAAAGGTGCCATCATGGTTTTTCGGGATTTCAGGTATAAATGTTCTGTCATTTCTGATATGAAAGATCTTACCGGCATGATAATTCTGACATAAGTCACATTAATACAACCAGCGACTGACATGCAACTGAGGTTAATCATCCGGATATTTTCATACTAAAATGAATAACATGCGCAGGACGTTTTTAATGCTAGAAATTTAATACACCAAAATACGAGCGTGCGCCGTTTATATTGTCCACATACTGCAAGTATTGAATATTGATGGTATAAGGAAAGAAGATTTCATTTCAAAATATATCGTTGAATTCTACTGAATGAGTCGAAAACGTTTTCCATTGTAGCTTTGTACATGATACCGTAATGCTTTGCATTAATGCAACCTATAATATTTGAAACCAAAACTGTGTTGAACTATTAAAATTAATTAATGCCTGATTGCCATAGTGCATGTGCCTTTCTTTCTGCGTTGCCGTTGGGTAACTGGTTTGGGAGGTTGTCTGATAAAATTTCACCTCAGTCTCGTATGAATCAGAGAAGAGTGCTTGATGCCTTGATTATACATGAAACACCGCGGATGTTCTTCGGGAACTGGAATTTCCTCCTATAATGCTTGAACAATAACAGATGACCCTAAATTAAATACAAAATCTTTCTTTAACTTTATAGCTTTATAATTTAGTTTGAAGTGTAATAAATGTTAACATCCAAACGCTAGCACTGATCGTCAAGTAGGGATAGAATGTGGATAGAATCTCGCGCTTGCCATTTCACAGTTACAATTTTGAAAAGTTGCTTTTCACATCGTTCAGACTGTCTAGATTATTTGACGTGAAGCAGTACCTCCAAAATGGCGGACATTGGCCGCTGTGAGAAAGGCTAATTGGTACGGCTGGTTGAGATGAATGTGAACAGTCATGTGACGACTGGGTACGAGTCAGCCTCCGTTACCCGTCTAACTCGTTCCTTCCAAACCATTTGAAGGGTTCCCTAATTCCACCTGGGGGGATTGGGGCGACATCACTCAATCCCATACCACGCATAGCAAAAGAGAATTCAAGTTATTCAAGGAATCATGAAAAGTGTCGTAGACGAGGCGAGCACATGACAATGGGAAAACAGCGAAATGCCAGCACATGACAATGGGAAAACATTAATAACATATTCATGAACCATGGAATTAACTTCAGGTTAATACACTGGCCGACAAAGTTATCAAAGTTATTAGCATGGATTATTATTTAAATTACTAATTAAATTAATTATTATTACCAAAACAAGAGCAGTGCAATTAAGAGAAATTCAGTGGAAAAAATAAAAGTTTCGGACCCCTGACAGTTGAAAACCTGCATAAAACGTGTCATTCAAATGGTGAGTAAATCACTTATTTCGCAGGTGTGTTTTGCAGGGCTCGCCTCGGGGACATGCTTCGCCAGAAAAGTTTCTAATTTCTATAGGGTCTTTAGAACAGTGTTTCTCGCATTATGAAACTGTTCTGAAGAAAAATCACTGAACCACGAAAGATGCCATTTTATCGTTATTTTCAAACAGAGCCCCCTTCCTTCACTCGCCCCCATCCCCCCCTTTGCTTTTTAAGGATTAATGATTTTTAAGGATTTGCGAAGCAAAATCCTTTATGTTATCGGGTGTGTAAGATAGATAGGTAGATATATAGTAACACATTAGTGACGTTGAGTTCCGAGTCGAGTATTCGTGAACCGCCGGAAGCTATTATCCGCCATTTGTGTTTGTCGATATTCGCAATCTTTTGGGCAAAAACCCCGCTCATTTTCGTAGAATACACCAACGACTAAACATTGTACCACTTACTTTCAGCCAAACGAATGAATATATGACTGTTTTGTGCTAGAAATACAAATGGAAAAGGGAAAGGAAAACTCAGGAGCGGCCGTATAAAATAAAATCAAAAGCGGTGTTTCCATTATAAAAACTGTATTGTCCATTTTTCATTCGTTTTCATTGGAAATGAATTAGAAATGTATTGCCTGTTGCGGAATGCGAAAACCGGTCCCTTAAATTTTGTTGTTTTTTATCCAAACGTTAAATTATAGAATATCTTAAACATTTCTACAAATTCAGTTATTCTTTTATCTTTGAGGCAGTGATAAAGTCATTTAAAAGTTGTAGTAGATTAACTTTGAATATAACAGTAATTAAACAAAAGTTGACATTCGAAGAAAAGATTTGTCATGCATGATGTTGTGTTTTGTTATACTACATTTTGGGCGATATTTTTCCATCGTTCTCGCATTATGAACTGATATTTTTCAATATTTCTTGCATTATAAAATTGACAACAAAATTGCAAATCCTTACGCACTCTTTGAGTGCCTATTTTTTCATGTATATTATTGATAAGTAATACCATGGCTATGGTTTCTCGTACAATTTGAATTCGAAGAAACATGCACTCGTGAGTTTGTTGTCTTTTTTCCTGCTTTCCCATTCGGTTTTCCCTAAATCATTGAAGTTGAGTAATATGAAACTGCCTTTAATTACTGACTTGCGTGATAGAAATTTGATCTGAGTGAAAATGTCGAGTGCATTCTTTGAAAATGAACAGATTGTTTATATAAGTTCAAAATACTATTAATATTACAATATGGATGTACCATCACGACCATTACTCTCTCACGGAATATTGGGTAGAACATCTGGTTTATCACCAGAGAAAATTACTGTAGATGTTCAAAGGCAACAGTCGTTTACACTTGGTATGAACAAGAACCAACGTATTCCGTCTAGAGATAATACACAAGTCTCACAATTTGCCAAGTTATGGCATGACAGATTGCTGAGCAGAAAAACAATGATCCATAAGGAATTTCAGGTTGAATGAACGTATTATCACATCTATATACCAAGCTGAGAGCAGCTCTACTATTCATTTCTATAGTTGCTATGCGCCTATGCTACTATTCATGATTTTATTGATTTGTTTACTGTACAAATTTCATCGTTAATATTGTTGTGCGGATACATATATTATAGACACTATAGGTTTAATATATAGTCACGTCAAAATCATTACTACAATAAAATCATTAAATCCATTGATTTACGATCCATTTAGCTATTATTGATAATGACTGCTCATTAACTAATGTACTGTTTTCTTATTCATTTCATGCCTGTGTTTGTTTGTTTAGGCCAAAGCAACTTTTAAGAAAGCCATTAAGAAGATTGTATCAGCTTTAAAAGTGATAAATGCCTTCTTAAGGTACAGATGCTCATTATTTCAAAATTTGCACCAATGAATCAATGATTGAAACAAATAAGCGGATACATGGTTTACTTTTATATAGTATACCTGAAAAATGACTCGATTCTGGTTGTCTAAGAGTAGTGCAATTTTATTGAAATACAGTGCCAAGAAAATAAATTCTTTGTAAACAAGTTATTGTGTCATTCAATGAGTGGGTGAGTGAGTGAGTGAGTGAGTGAGTGAGTGAGTGAGTGAGTGAGTGAGTGAGTGAGTGAGTGAGTGAGTGAGTGAGTGAGTAAAATATTTATTTCGAATTTGTACCAATCGAGTCGTTGAATTTGCGAGTCGTTGAATTTGCTTCTGCATATACATTTTCATGTATATTATTATACCTACACCAATACAATAATGTTTCCTTATTTTCCTAAACAATACTCAGTAGAAAGACTGAGCGGATCCTAACCGTCCTAAAATAGTTTGGTATCACTATCCGAATATAATATTGAATATTGATGTATTTATAGCTTAATAAGTGAAAGGTCTGTGATTTTAGATGGATGCAGGTCGTTGTATTAGTCAAATCTGAGGTAAAACGTAAATACATGATTCTTTTACAGTTGTTCATCAAACAGCAGCTCGCATAACCAACACGATGCATTTCGATATTTCATGGACATATTGGACATCAGTGGAAATCATGTGTCAGACGAAACAGTCTCTCGAAATGATGCAAATTCTCCTACACCACTATTTGATCCGGCTTGGTTTAAAGCAAATCGCGAGGTACTTGCATGGCCACAATGTCCAAATCCACAGTGTAAATTTTCTTTTTCCTAAGATCGATGCTTCATTGTCGCCTTTCTTTCTTCTTTTACTTCTTTGATGTCCCCGCCTTCTATTGCGATTTATTTCCAGCTCCATATAATAAATCTTCTTCATTCTTTTTTTGTCTTAGCCTTGCTTCCCTCTCCTTCACTTCAATGTCTCACACATTCCGATCTCTTCATTCCATGCCTCTAACTAGCTTTCCTTCATCTCGTCCTATTACATATCCATGCCATCTCATCTTGGCTTTCCTCTCCTTCGCTAAGTGTGGCATCTTACATATTCTTTAATTCTGATCTCGGTGCTCTTTCAAACTCTCTGTCCTCATTTCCTTCAGCGATCCTACATGCATGTTTCTGGGCTTTTCGGGATTTTACTGAAGAACAGCGATAATTCATCGATGTTATCTGCAATTTTTACAGATCCGCCTCAGCAGCGAAACCAAAGCAATTTTAAGTCAATATCCAAATACAAGGACACCAGAACAAGTTCAAACGGTGAGAATCATTTTATCTTAAGAATTGATTGTGAAAATATAACAATATTTTCTCACGTTCCGCAGTATCTTGTTCTGTAATAAAATAGGGGACGACTGACCACAACTGGCACGCGCGTGCATGATTTCGACATCTTGCTAATGAAGGATGGAATTTTTTTACTAATATCAGTTATAAGCCTATTATACAATATATATAGGTATAGGTACGGCGTACATGCATGTATAGCCAAAATTGACCAGAAGTGTTGCCTCGTAAACTTTGTCACACAAAATAAAATCTACAAAATTGTTTCACGAACAACAAGGTTAAGCAAAGACGTAAAATGTTATCTTTTCTTTTAATTTATCAGAACACATGTTGACTGCAATAGTCCAGCAATTGATATTATTAGGGCTGCCACTCACGGTGACTTGTGTCAACATAATTAAATTATGATATTTGCTGTGTTGGTGTAATGTACTCAGGTGAATAAGATGCTTGTGATGTTACTCTGAGTGTATATCCACACCGGGCATGCTTGAAAAATGTGCTTGGCCACGGTGGGAATCGAACCTACTCGAACCGACCTGACCGCGTAGCTCAGTTGGCAGAGCATTGGGCTAGTATTCCAAACGTCCTAGGTTCGATTCCCACCAGGCATATTTTTCAAGCCTGCCAGGTGTGGATATACACCAGATCATCAAGTTCCTGAATTTTACTGTATAATATAGTAACGGTTTCCTCTTTACTATTACAAATGAACGCGTTACAAAATGTTTTCTCGCACAATCAAATCACGAGCATTAATATACTGGCTGTATACAGTAAACCATGCTCAATCTTGTAATTGGCAATTCCAGCTTTTAGTTTATGCGTGCAGGGGACGATGGGAAGTAAGGTATCACATTGCTGATTATGCTGAAAAATAAAAACGATGGCCGTGTAAACACGGAATGATAGCTGTCGGAGCGAAAACGAACAGTTGACAAACTAACGCCATTTTGGCGACATAAAGTACATTAATTAGACGGAAAAAATGGCGGAAAACACATGGCCGCGTTGAAGTTGTTATTTATCGTTTTTATTAAATATTTGTCTTAAAAAACTATGAAATGAGTGAATGTTTAGTGAACCAGCACGTAAATGTAGGTCTCGACTACATTTTTGGTCCTTCGACAGTCGGATTGTAGAATTTCAAGGGAAATTCGAGTAAATATCGAGGGGTAAAAATACGTAAATAT